AACGCATATAAATCTCAATCCATGCAAATGGAAATTCGCTTAGTCGAAAGGATTGCTGCACCGGGGGTATTTATATAGTGGAAACATTCCTATGGACTAATTACATTGATTTGTTGTGCTTTTATTTGCATAAAAGAGGGTAATGGTCTTATTTTAAGTAAAATAGCTGGTGAAATCGTAACATGTAGCAATTTTTAAGACATCATAACCGGAAACTGCAGTGGGTCCAGACGTGACACCCGAGTTAAAAACACTTCTTTAGACACATACATCAACATTGAATGGTAAAACTGTCTATATATGACTCGAACACAGCCATCGATGTCGGATTTATATGCGTTTTTGCGCAAAATTAGGTTGTTTTGTACGATTTTCTAGTTTCTTGACGTGATCTTTTGAGTAAAGCATATCGAATTTGGTATTTTTGTAAAGCTATTTTAACGTGCTACAACTTTGTCTATAAGTTATTTCTGATATATTGTATCAATAAAACGTTATCGACAAAAATAACACAAAAATATTTAAAAATATAGGTTTTTGCAAAATTACGAAAAATGTACTAAACATACAACAAATGTGTAAATGTAAAACAGGTAGCATTTAAAATTATCTTTCAAACAAAAAAACATTCATTCCGATCCGACAAATAGTTTGCGAAATATACAATTTAAAAAAATCAATGGCCGCCATTTTGATGACGTCATAGCTCGAAAACGTACCAGGTGCGAACTTGACACCCGAGTGGAAAACACTTCCTAAGACACCTATATTGAAATGCAAAAGTAAAATTCACTATACACGACATGCACACAGAACCCTAGTCAGGTCCTGGACTACTACTTTACCTATGACAGTTTTTAAATTACAAACAATCCCTACTCATAACTTCTACGAAAGGTTATTTTTCGTTTATAACCTCTCATTGCCACTGACAGTGATGCAAGGAATAATTTTACCAAACACCAATTGCACCAAAATCGTTAACAATTAAATTAGTAAACAGTTGATTAGCTGAAGTCTGAAGTATTACAATTTTACTCCTTCTCTCTCATTCCTTGAACCTCATTGGTCCGTTACCCGTGTCGTTAAGTAAAACTATACTGTTATGTAAGTAAACAATGCTGTTACCTATCTAAAACTTTGCAATTCTAAAAACTGAACTGAAACGGCTTTTAAAAACGGTAGAAGGTAAATTTATTTTTAGTATGCACCTACAAAAATAAGATAAATATCATGGAATAAATCAGAGATATATTATATTTAAGGAAGAAGCCGAACAAGATTTGTTGCTAGGAGACCAACTTATTGCTGCAGATGCTGCCTACTAAGTCAATCTTCTTCCTTGCTACAATATCTTAAATGTTAAAAAAGAATATGTGTTTCTATCATCTGCAGTTTAAAATACACATTTATATTTATATCACATAATATAAAATTGATAATTTGAGTTAGGAGGATGATTTTAGTTCTACAGTAGCTACTACAAATTAAGAACCCATTTACTACCAAAAAATTCAATAAATATCTGGACAACCGTTCTTAATCACGTTTAATAACAATATTTATAATTGGTATACAGTATTTGAAAGTAAACATAAAGCACTTATCAACAGAATAAGCATTTTAACAAAAATATTAACTCATGGTTAATATACTTTTAAAATACAATACAAATCAATTGAAAATACTGTATGATCATTTGTAAGTAAGGTGAGGATATCCTCATTGAAAGTATCTACAACTATTCAGAGAAATTAATTCTCTAACTGGATAACCATTAAAGTTGTTATGAAATTTAGGTGGTTCAGTGCATCATTGTTTGAGTTTAAAGATTCCAAAATAATGCGTGAATGAAGAGCGATAAAAAGGGATGAATTCGAGTGTGGTCATCCAGCGTGGAGTGCTATACATGTGAGTTGCATTAAACAACACTCTCTGTTGCTAAGCAACCAGCTTCATCCCCCCACACACCCCCCTACAACCAATCAAACCAGCTGGTAGACTTGAGGTGATTGTGTTTATCTTTGGTCACATGACAACTTTTGAAAATTTTATGCAGATATAGCGTTGACATTTTAGTAACGTTTTAGCGAATTTCCCATATAGGGAATAAGCTATTACCGTAGTACTCATGGTAAGACCTGGATGCAGGACCGATTTTTTTTTTCGTTTTGAGGTCCCTAGAGGCCAAAAACAGAATCCGTTCAAATTCATATATATATATATTTATATATTTATATATTTATCTATATATATATATATATATATATACTAGCTGGCCCGACAGACGTCATCCTGTCCTAATGTGGTTTTATGTCAAATGCTCGTTCATTTTCAAGATGAGCTCGTTCGCATCGTTCAATCACGTCCTGGTTGAAGTTCGTTTGCTACGCTTACTCACCTTTAGGTTGGAGGTCGTTCGCCACGTTCATTCACCTTTTGGTTGCAAATTAGCTGTAATAAATTTAAACAAATAATAGTGCTGCTTAATCGGTGTTGGTAAACCGATTAACTTTTTAATGTATTGAACATCACAGAATCAAATTATTTAGTTGAACCAGCTGTTAAGATTATTTAATTCCATTTAAATATAAGTACTCATAAGGTTAACATGGGAAACTCCAGAGCTACTGGGGCAGAGCCCTTTTGACGGATCTGCACAAAACTTCACACAAACCATCCTTGAATAATGCTTAATAATGCCTGAAAGTTTCATTACAATCTGTTGAGCGGTTTCGGAGTCCATAACGTTCAAATTTAAATATATATACATACATACATACAAACTTCTTCTTTTATAAATATAGATACAGTGACCAAATGTTCACACTATGTTTATACAACCATTTACTAGTTCCCTACACAGGTGTTTTGTAGTAGTTGTTATGCAACCTAAATAATGGTATGTTTTAGTAAGAAAGAAATCTCAAAATCGCAATATTTTTCATGATTTTGTATAACGAATTTATCATTATGGATAACTAGCTGAGTACCCGTCCTTCGTACGGGGTGGGTAAGCAATGCTTATTGTAGTTAAATACTCGTGCTTTGCATTTGCAATGAGAGAGGACACGTTTTGAGAAAATTTGGTTTACTATTTTATCTACGGTATACTATAGTATATAGAACATCTTACCATAGCCATAATGTTCTACTACTTCATTTAAACAATAGAAAAAAGTAAACTTCTCACACTCAGGTTTTTGTTGCTGCTTGGTTCAAATTAGCTGTTGTCATAAATGTATAAAGAACTAATGGTGCTGCACCCTATTGGTAAACCGTATAACCTTTTAATGCTATTGAATATCATAGAAACAAATTATGTAGTTGAAACAGCTGGCAAAATTATTTAATTCCTTTTAAATATGAATACTCATAAGGTTAACATGGGAAACTCTAGAGCCGCTGGGGCGGAACCGGAAAGGATTTTTGAGGTAAGAATATGTCTATATGTTAATCGGGAATGTGAGCTATCATCATACCAAATTTCAACACAATCCGACCAGTAGTTAATGTGTGATTGAACTTCAAACAAACAAACAAACAAACAAATAAACAAACACACAAACTTTCACATTTATAATATTAGTATGATGTGTGTGTGTGTGTGTGTCCGTTAGCACCATAACTCGAGCAAAAATGATCCGATTTTGATAAAATTTGGTACAAACGTGTAAACCTACGTTTATTTGAACGAGTTCGCGATCCAGCATGATCGGACCATGGGAACGGGAGTTTATGGGGGGTTTTCTGGGGTAAAAATAGGTTTTTCCCATTTTTGACCCAAAAAACATAAAATTTAGCAATTTCTTTCCAAACCATTTTGTAGAGCTCAAAAAAACAAATAATTTAGTATATTGAAGCGTTATTATGCACCTAATGGTTACGGAGAAAATTCCAAAAAAACTGTAAATTTAAAATTCCCATGTTATTCTTATGGAGAACTAGCTGTAACCCGCGGGCTTTGCCCCGTTTAACTTCTTAATTTTCAAAATTATCTCGTTCGCATGGCTCAATCACGTCCTGGTTGAAGTTTGTTCGCTACGCTCACTCACCTTTAGGTTGGAGCTCGTTCGCTACGCTCACTCACCTTTAGGTTGGAGCTCGTTCGCTGCGCTCACTTGCCTTCAGGTTAGCTCGTTCGCTACGCTAACTTGCCTCCAGGTTGGAGTTCGTTCGCTACGCTCACTCACCTTTTGGTTACAAATTAGCTGTTGTCATAAATGTAAAAGAAATAATAGTGCTGCACCCTGTTGGTAATCCTTGTAACTTTAAAGCTATTGAACATCATAGAACAGAACCAACTTGTTTAATTGAAACAGCTGTTAATATTCGATAATTCCATTTCTCATAAGGTTAACATGAGAAACTGCAGAGCCACTGGGGCGGAGCCCGAAAGGATTTTTGAAATAAGAATATGCCTATATTTTAATCGGGTATGTGAGCTATCATCATGCCAAATTTCAGCCCAATCCGACCAGTATTTTTCGCGTTCACTTGTCACAAACATACATCCATACATCCATACATTCATACATCCAAACTTTCTCATTTATAATATTAGTAGGATAAGTAAACTGCTGTAGTTTGCTTGTTTATGAACATATTTTGATCAAATTTGGAAAATGATTTTATTTCTTACTAACTATTAACATTTTACAAAAAAAAAACAAAAAACAGTTTTACCCTCCCTGATGCAGCAAACCTAAGTACTTGTTAAACTAATTCTTTTTAAATAGGAAATAAATGTTATATTTTTAAGTAGACATTTTAGTGTAAATCCAATCAGGCAAATGGAAATTCGCTTAGTCTGCAGGTTTGCTGCGGCGGGGGTGTAGTGTACTGAATCAGCTGATACAATTTAAATGTGTTTTCAATACTTTGTTTACATTGTTGTTTGTTTACGTTTGACATAACAACAGAGTTACTTGGTTTTTCTAATATAACTTTTCTTACGAAAATGTCTTGTTACTTTACATAATTAACTCACAGTACTACAAATGGCGCAGTCTACTAAACGGACCGACGATTTACGTATAGATGCTTTTGATGGTCATTCTGAAGAATGGACTTACTGGCTCGAACGTTTCAAGATTGCATTACGAAACAGAGGAATCAAGAATGAGGATACAAAACGAGACTTGTTGCTAGGGAACCTTGGACCTCAACCCTTCAAGCTAGTATTTGACCACGCACGACCTGATCCCGTCAGTAATCTTCACTTTACAGGAGTTATTGATATACTTAAGAAATACTACACACAAAAATCCGCACCACTATCACAGCGGGTTATCTTTAGTCGCCGTTTCAGACAAGAAGGTGAATCTGTTAGTCATTTCGAATTTGCTTTGCGCGAAATTGCAGGTCTCTGTGACTTTAGTGACAACTTAGACGAACAGCTGAGAGATCAGTTTGTTCTGGGCATCAACAATGATCGCTGGCAACTTGAACTTTTGCGCTTACATGCTACGACAGATACTACATTTGAACAAGTCACAAACACCGCTACTTTATTGGAAAATGTTGACAATCAACAGTCACAATTCCGTAATACACGTTCAGTCAACAGAATAAGCAACAGGAACAAGAAGAATGCTTTCGAAACGATACCGTTGAAACAAGAAACAAAAGGAAACACTTCGAAACAAAACATCTTACATCTTAACAAGAGAACTGACTGCATTCGGTGTGGTTACAAGAAACATACACAAGGAACGAGCTGTCCCGCTGTCGATGCCACTTGCAACGCCTGTGGAGGACTGAATCATTTTGCACGCACTTGTCTTAAAGTGGGTAATGCAGTCATTATCAAAGGTAAGCGACTTAACATGTTAGAGGCAAAAAACTCGTCTTGTAACTCTAGTGTTAAATCTTTTCCTGATACAGATCAAATCCAAGCGATTAATAAAGGGTCAAAAGTAATGCTTTCAGTCAAGTTAAACAATCATACAATTTCAATGTTGTATGACCCAGGTGCAGCGTTCAGTATCATTAGCAGAAACATATGGCGAGATCTAGGAACTCCTAAACTATTTCCCACAGAAAATCTTAATGCATATACAGGAGTTCTAATTGAAACTATGGGTAAAACGTATGTTTCAGTTGAAGCTTTTGGTTCCAAACGTAAGTTACCGGTAATTGTTGTTAAGAAAAACGATATACCTTTGTTCGGCCTAGACTGGGTTCTTGATTTTAACTTACCACTGCCACCTGGGGCTCAAATATGTACATTGTCCAAACAGCAAACAGAACAAGTAAGTGAACAGATTGTTAATGACATTGTTAACGGTTTTCCAGAAGTTTTCAGTCCCTCTTTAGGTACGATTAAAAATCACAAGGTATCTTTTCACATGGCTTCAAATGCAGCTCCTGTAGTTTCAAAACCACGGCCAGTTCCTTTTGCTTTACGGGAACCTGTGGAAAATGAAATTCAACGATTAGTAGACAGTGGAGTTTTAGAACCAGTCGATGCCAGGAATGAACCTATCATTTGGGCTTCGCCCATAGTAATAGTGGTAAAACCGTCTGGAGCTATCCGCATATGCGCGGATTTCAAAAATACTATAAACAAACATATGCTCCCCGATAAATATCCTATGCCTACATTCGAAGAGATCACCTCAAAACTTACAGGTGGCCAGGAATTCTCCGTCATAGATCTCAAAGATGCATATCTGCAGATGGAGGTCGAACCATCGGCACAACAGTACCTGATTATTTCTACTCACAAAGGATTTTTCAAGTACAAACGCTTACCCTTCGGAATCAAAATTGCCACCGGGGTTTTTCAATGCAAGATGGATCAAGTACTGGCAGGCTTACATGGAGTCGCTTGTCTCCTTGACGACGTCATAGTCACAGCCCCAACGAGAGAGGAACATATAGAACGTGTCAAAGAAGTGTTAAGACGTTTTCAAGAATCTGGAATTCGTGTCCAGACATCAAAATGTAAATGGTTTCAAGATTCCGTTAACTATTTGGGTCACAGAATTGATAGAGCTGGTATACATCCAACGACAGAACATCTGGAAGCAGTGAAAAACATGCAATCACCGAAAAATGTGAAAGAGTTAAGATCATTTCTTGGGTCGATCAATTACTACAGTAAATTTATTCCCCATTTACAGTCCTTGTGTGTTCCATTACACAAACTGCTAAAGAAAGGCGTGAAATGGCATTGGAACGAAAACCATGAACAGGTAGCAGCAAAATTGAGGCATCTTCTTACTACAACAGACACGTTGGCTCACTATGACGAATCCCTACCTCTCATCCTCGCAACTGATGCGAGTGATATTGTTGTTGGAGCTGCTCTTTTCCAAAAGTATCCTGATGGGACTGAAAAACCTTTAGCTTTTGCGTCAAGGCGCCTTGATCATGCTGAGTGCCGATACAGCGTGATAGAAAAGGAGGCGTTAGGTTTGGTTTTTGGAGTAACTCGTTTTGAACAGTACCTTTATGGTAGACATTTCGAAGTTCGAACGGACCATAAAGCATTGGTTAAAGTCTTCGGTGAACATGATTCAATTCCGAAGGTAGTTTCAAATCGAATCGCTAGATGGGCATTAACACTGAGTGCCTATGACTACTCGATCAACTATCAACAGGGCAAAGATAACAAAACAGCCGATCTATTATCAAGATTTCCCTTGCAAAATACGATAAAATCTACAGAGGAAGACCAGGGTGGCAGTAACAAAGCACACCTTTTCCATTTGCGTTCACAGGATCTACCAATATCGACAAAGTGTTTGCAAGAAGCGACAAAAACTGATCCAATACTTTCAAAAGTAGTAAACTATTTAAAAAGGGGTTGTTGGCCTTTGGAAAATAATGAAGACACTAACCTACAACCGTACTACAGCAAACGTGAAGAACTTTCCTTTGAGAATGGAATTCTACTTTGGTTTGGGAGATTGGTCATACCTGTGAAACTTAGATCAAGAGTGATGGAAATACTACATGAGGGACATCCAGGTATTGTAGCTATGAAAGGGAAGGCACGTTTTCAAGTCTGGTGGCCTAAACTGGACAAGGACTTGGAAGAACACACTAGACATTGCAATGGATGTCAAGAAAACAGAAGCAAAGATCCTGAAATGCCGTTATTCTCATGGCCTGTTCCTGGAGAAGTTTGGTCACGGATCCACATCGATTTTGCCGGACCCTTCATGGGGAAAATGTGGTTGATTGTAGTAGATGCTCGGTCAAAATGGCTTGAAGTATTCCCGATGTCGTCAACTTCAACAAAGTCAACGATCAAAGCTTTAGAAGAGTTATTTTCAAGATTTGGCTATCCAAGGGTAATTGTAAGCGATAATGGACCACAGCTAACATCCTACGAGTTTCAAACCTTTTGTAAGAGCCTAAACATTAAACATGCTCGAATCACCCCCTATCACCCAAAAAGCAATGGGTTAGCGGAACGATGTGTTCGTACATTCAAAGAACGCATGAATGCTTCAAAAGGAAATGCTGGGACTTTCCAAGAAAAACTCAACAGCTTTTTATTTGCTTACAGAACGTCACTGAGAAGATCTACTGGAAAAACTCCAGCATTTATGATGTTTGGTCGCGAATTACGCTCCAAATTAGACATGTTGTTTCCTGACGTTGAGCAGAAAAACGACGAAGAGTTGGTTCAACAGCGGCTACAAAAACCTGGATCAAAAGAAAAAGTTTTTAAAGAGGACGACAATGTATGGGTACTAGACAAATCTGGAGCTGGGTTCAAGAAAGGAACGATTGTGAAAGTGAATGGTCCTTACTCATATGTAGTAAATACAAATGGACTAAATAGACGATGCCACGCAGATCAACTTCGTCTGGCTTAACTCTTAGAAGAAGGTGGGACGATGTAGTGTACTGAATCAGCTGATACAATTTAAATGTGTTTTCAATACTTTGTTTACATTGTTGTTTGTTTACGTTTGACATAACAACAGAGTTACTTGGTTTTTCTAATATAACTTTTCTTACGAAAATGTCTTGTTACTTTACATAATTAACTCACAGTACTACAGGGGGTATTTATTATAAAGCTGTCACAGTTGTGTTTTATAGCTGTAGGGCTTTTAACACACATGGTGTTGGAATACCATTGTTGTCTAGCACTTGAATAGAATTTAAAATTAAGTCTTAGACTGATTTATTTTACAATTATTACCAGCAAGTAAAAGGGAGGGCTAAAAAAATGGACAGATCAAAAAGGGTAGAAAAAAATTCTACTGTGCCACTAATTTTTATGTTTGTCAATAAACATAACTAGACCTTCCATTCCATTTCCATATTAAAGTTGTAACCAATTTATTGTATAGAATGAAAATGAACGTAGTTGAATTTAACTGACAGATTGTGCTTAATATAAGTTACTGATTTCAGTTGACTGACTGTGTCAACGTTTTGACCAAACCAAACAGAAAGGACAGCTTATTTTAAACAATAGCATCTCGTGTCACATAAACTATCGTGGTAATAAAAATAAGGAGAATATACAAAATTTTACACAGAGAACTCTCTGCATGGTTTATTCAACTAATGAGAGAAAATGTGTGTCAGATTGCTGATACCGGTTATTTAATAAAAAGTTGGCCACAGCTTTTCCTTATAGATGAGATGTCTGATCCATAAAGTAAAGGTCAGTATTTTCATATAAGAAATTGTTCACCAATATTTATTACATTTCTTACAGAAGGTTAGACTCAATATATGACAAACTTGTGGCTGGTTGGAGATAATACGAGCAGGCAATTTATCACACACGAAGCTCAGGAGCGAGTATACACTGCAACTCCATTTGAGTACTTTTTCCGCAGGTGACGTGACAACAATATACAATTTGTGCCTGAATGCAATGAAAAATCTTCAATACCAAACTTTTGTCTTTAAAATGCATTATTAAAACTTTTCTAAGAATGAATTCTCAATTAGATATTCCTTGAATGGAATGTTCGATTCAGAATAAAGAGAGAGAAATAAATTCAGCTAACCCTTTTGTATCTGTAATATAGATCAAATAAATTACACAGAGTATTTGAGTGTTGTTTCATCGGATTTAATTTGTTGTATGGTGTAGTGAAAAATAACTAAATGGAAATGAATAAATTAAATGACATTGGAACCTTTATTGTAAGTGGCATGAAGCAAACTTACTGAAATCAAGCTTTAGATTTTCCAATGGGATGAGAAATCCACTTGTAAAATGTTCAAGTCAGTGATGGTAATTTGTAACAGGTTGGTTGATAGAACTAGTTTAAGAGACCAGTTGTTTGATCTTCTTTTGGGTGTGGATTGAGCTTATTCGGTTTGTTTGGGTGGAAGATAAAACTGTTAAGGCAGTGAATGATTATAAAACAACCAATGATCAAACAAAGTCTTAAGTATTTTTTCTCTTGAGTACATTTTTACTCTTTCAGGTCTGCATCTTAGCCTGAGCATGTACTAAGAAGATTAAATTTGAAATATCAACTGTTTGTACATAAACAAACAAATTTTGTTTATTTAAATCAGTGTTAGTAAACAATTATGAATAAACTATGAAAATTGTGTTTACCTATTTCTAACAAAATTAATCTTTGCTTTCTTATTTTTGCACTTTAATATTAAATTAAGTACTACCCAAACTATTTATTTATTCTCTCCTATATTTAATTGTTAATATTTCGGTATTTTTTTGTGTGAAAAAGAGGTAGGATTAACCTGCATTAACCTTAATCTGCATTTCCTCAGGTAGGTTTCCAATCTATTGAGACTTTTAGTCAGTTTATTATTTTTTTATTTAGAAGAGTAAATAATACTTTTTTGTAATATTTTTTTGTATACTTAATACTTTGTAAGTGTAAGAAATATGACATTTTAAAACAATATAGTTGTACCACTTATTTGATTTATCAGTAAATTATGTGGAGATTAGTTAGTCAGTTTTATAATATTTCAATCTCTGATTTTAGATTTTAAACTTAGAACTCAGTTGTTTTACATGTTTTGCCAGGATTGACCACATCAGCGATGTTTACAAAGTTTAAGCAAAATGAAATAGGAGATGGGAATGCTTATGAATACACTGAGTAAGTAGGCCTAGTTAATATATTGATATGAATTAATCAATAAAAAATATGTATCTACTTAAATTTACTTTAGTTATCGGTATGTGACCAACAAACTAAAATTTATTGCGTCCTTGACAAATTTTCTCTTGTGTTTATTTCTGTCACATTTAAAATTGCAAATAAATACTTGGCTGAAGTTTTCGTTTAGTAATCAAACTAGTTTTATTTTGAACATATTTAATTGTTTTATGACCTTGGTAATCAAAACAAGTACTATTCATGCATTCAGATTTTAATTAAGGTATTTACAAAATTCAGTGGGTGTTTATGAACCTGAATAGACGAGGCTTAATATTACATTAATAAAACTCAATAGTGATTGGAAGAAAAAATCATATAGGACAGATTTTTTCTCTTATAATTATGTTTTATTACGTGCATTAATCTGTAATCATGTTTCAGATCAGACCAGTACAAAACACATGAAGATAAACCTTCTTTCAACTTTTTATCAAAAATATTTTCATCAAAAAAGCCAAAATTGATTAATGGAGCTAGAAACCCATTTCTACGAAGGTAAGCAGTATTTTATCAATTAAGTAGGTATGTTTCTTTCTGATAAAAATTAACCTATCATTGAATTTTTTTAAATTCTATGGTACCTATTGATTATCTTAAGTTTCAACACATATTTGTCAAATACATTATTGAAATATTATTGTAATAAAAAATGTTAAATATTTGATTTCAGGTTTGAGCCTCAACCACACTCTGATCCAAGAGAGACGGTGTTCGTTGAGGATGACAGGGACGAAGCTTTGTACCATGGTAAAATATAATTTATTGAAGTATAGAATTATTTATTATACAAATAGAAATACCGTACATTATCTTGTACCTTCAATATACAGGGTGTCCCGGAACTCTCTACCAATATTTTAGGGCATTGCTCCTGGGTAAGAAACATAACTAAATATCATATTTAAACTGTCCGGAAGTCCTTAGTTACTCACACAGCCACCATTTTGTTTTTTTCAGTTATTATTTTTTTCTAAAGAATGGTTAAACATACGAAATGGAAACTTTGCACAAACATTTATGACAACTAAACAAAGCTACCGTACCAAAAAATTATCACGATTATTCAAATTCATAAAACAAAATGGCGGCAATTTAAAATTTTTGTAAAATCAATGGTTTTTGAGTTATTTAAGAAAGAAAATTTTAAATGGCCGCCATTTTGTTTTATGAATTTGAAAAATCGTCATAATTTTTTTGTAGCTTTGTCTAGTAGTCAAAGATGTTTGTACAAAGTTTCCATTTCGTATGTTTAACCTTTCTTTAGAAAAAAAATAATAACTGAAAAAAACAAAATGGCGGCTGTGTGAGTAACTAAGGACTTCCGGACAATTCAAATATGATATTTAGGTACGTTTCTTACCCAGGATCAATGCCCAAAAATATTGGTAGAGAGTTCCGGGACACCCTGTATATTTTAAAACACATAGGTGTTTTTTGGATTAGTTAAACTACATAAAGTCACATATTTAATATTCCTGACATATTTTACTATGTCTATGACCAAATTTTTCAACCCCATTCGTTCATTTCAAAGCCATCATATAAATTCGGAAATTGAAATATTCTGTTAGTTACTTCTGAATAATAGCTTGGCCATGATTTTTCTGATAGCAAACAACACAATATAGGAGTGTATTTAAAGTGAATATAAATCAAAGACGAGTGATGAATGAAGTGCGTTTATCTATAGCTTATTACTGGCAAGGATCGGCTGTTTCTGTGGCCAGGATCACTTTATTAAAAGCCATACAATCGAGGACTAATTTCAGCCAAAACCTTTTGACAGTCAAGGGAAGCAGAGTAGGCTACACTTCCTTGTACACCTGGTTTCCCAACATTTATTTTAAAACACAACTATCTGACGAGTACAGTAGTTTGTCTCTTTGTAGCTGATTTTGAAGACCAAGAGGTTTGTTCAAAATCGGACTCCCGATACAACCTCATGTTCATCGAAGGTCCTGCAAACACACTTAGCCGTCAATTTATGCAGGTAATACCTAAAAGATCCTACTACAAATGAATTCTCAGTAGACCAAATTTAAGTGCACACTTAATGTCTATGTCAGTAAATCTGTTAACAATAGCAATCAGAATCCAACAAACACTCTCAGAAAAAGGTTATTGGTTCAGTCAATCCAGACCAATGACTCTCATCATAGACAGTAAGAAATAAACAATTTATCATAGCACACCATGATTGAGTCAAGTTTAAGTCTACATTAAGTTAAGTTTGAAAATAATTACTCTCAATTCTATGAGTATTGTAGTATCAGTTCATGAGACAGAGCCGTAGAGGAAACCTTATACACATATGTTATCTTTGTTCTGCTGTATGATTTCACTACTGAGTTGAAAACAAATTACTGATAATGAATAATGAATAATAATGAATAATGAATAATAATGAAGATACAGATCATCTTTTTGTATTTGACATGGTGTTCAACAGTGGCGGTTTTAGGATCTTGTCAAGGGGGGGCTAACCTGGCTAACGGGGGTGTCCGACCAAACAAAACCCCACTGGTCTGATACCAGGAAAGAGCTTTGGGGGCTCTCTCCCAAAGTTTTATTTTTATTTTTAAAGTAGATTGGTGACTTTTAAAGCCATTTTAAATATCTAGGACTGTGTCTAAATCCCCTAGTGCAGGTGTATGACAAAATGCATGATTACATTTATATTTCCAAGGTCCAAGGACTTTGGCCTC